TATCAGTTATTCAAATGACGATTTGTAGGGACTACTCATTTTAGAAGATCTTATCAAGTTAAGTTATTTTGTGGTAAAAATATCTGTGAAATTTGCCGCTTATGTATCAGGTATTACCAACGAAGTGACTGAGGAAAAGTTATGCTTTCACGAAAACTTAAATATGTCACTTGCCATTTACGACTTAATATGTGTCAGTCTGATCCTCTTAAAATGTTTATTTTGACACTTCAGTGCAATGATGGAAATTCTTGCATTCACTGTATGATAAATTAAGATATTACTGAAAACTAGAGTTCAATATTATGTCTATGTTTTCCAAATCATATATTTAAATATAAGGTATCTAAATAGTTCAATTTATAGATCTGAAATTTTTGAGATAGTAGAGGCTTGTAAATCAGGATGAGACAGATAATTGCCTAGCATTCTTTGAACCTTAAGCTTTATTCTTGGGCTTTTCATAATCGTGGTAAGTGGCTTTGTCAGCGTATACTTCATGTAGGAGCTGAGGATTTCTTAGTCGTCTACCTTGAGCATTAGTGGCTTGTAAGTAGGAGTAGTCTGTCTTTCTTTTCATCAGTAAGTGACTTTTATAACTGGTGTTACCATTTGACCTAGGTTTTTGAACTAATCTTTGATTTTTAGTTTGCTTGACTGACTTTCAGTTGGTTGATCCCTTCTTAGTAGTTTGGATATTGTGTCAATATTCAATTCAATAAGGTTATGAGGGAGAATTTTGTTACTGAGGAAGGTTTATCTCAGTTGAAATCTCCTATGTAATAAACAACAACAACCGATACCCGTTGCACAAGAGGTGGCTATTGTGCCTAAGTGGCCTAGTGCACAGTGCTCTGGAGTTTGAAGCAATAGGTACAGAATTAGAGTCTCAGTGAGAATAACATCACTAGGGTGCCGGTACGTCCGGCTGGCAAGTCCCAAATAGGTCGAAATGCGCGTAGCGAATTTCACTGCTAGTCACCAAGATGAATATTCCTCAAATTCATTTTATGTATGAGGTAAATAAGGACGTATATAAACCAGCTTAAGTGAAGAATTGAACAGTAGAGATCATATTTTCAACAAACTTCAGTAATCAATATAACGGACGTGAATTTTGTTCCAGGTCCCATAATATGTAGCAAAGCTTAGTGAATATCGAATAATTATTATGTGCTTGATTGTTGTAGAAATCTTAAATAACGGTCTAATCCAATTTTAGCAGTCCTATAATTCACACTCATCAACAGGGATGACTTGACTTTCCTCTACTCAACTATAACTAACCTGACCTTTGTATTCAAACTGCTATGTTTTTTTAAATGTCTGATAGTGTCGTTTCGTTTTATCTTCTTACAACTCATGATCACACCTTGACTACACTACACTACCCTGCAGTTTCCACTTCTGTGTTGTATGGGAATACTTCCACCTTATATTCAAGTCTTATGTCTTAAAATATTACTTTTCAATAAGTGACAGAAAGTTCTTCTCCCAATTTTGAAGTACTGTTATCCTAAAAGGTAATTAACTCGCTTTGTAGCAGGAAATATTGTTTGGTCGACATTGTGTCATTCAATTATCAACTTTAAGGAATTGGAAATCGTTCAGTTTACATCTAGATAATGATAAGCATTATTTCACTATACTGTTAGTACTTTTGGAAGAACTTAAGGAACTCGATAGTTATCGAGTTATTGTAACCTTTAAAACAAAGAATTGATTAAACGACGTATTTTTTTACTAGCTGGTCTTTTCTCTCAACTGGAATACAATTATTGAACCGCTATTTAGAGAAATAAACCCGAATAAATAATGGAATATCACGTTTTAAGGAGCTTCGCATCTCATTTTTAGTCTATAAGGTCTATTACATTGTTATTAACCGTCTGATAAGCGTTTCCTAGTAAAAGTGGACTAAGAATTTTGAATGACACACGATGGTGATAAACAGAGCAGAATGAAAAATAATACGTACAGCAATTGTACATGGTTAGAAAATTGTGAAGTAATGTGAAACTAACATTTATCTAAAACTGAAACCCATAACTTTTACGACCCGCTTGTGCCATGAAGTATTGTTGGAAAGTTAAAAACTGCATTTTTTCATCAGTTTGATATGTTGAAAATTTTAGGCATGATTAAATGCACCTTGTGAGTAAGTTTCTAGTTAACAATAACTCAGCTTGACATGTTATGCCAAAATCTACATTATTTTTCCCTCAAAATTCAGTAGTCTGCATTTTACAGTGGTACTCCTTCGATTCGGTATAAAATAAGACTATTTAAAATAGAGTGACTGTTTACTAAACCATGAAAAAGACCACTCCAGATTATCTTAGTTCCAATCAGTGTTTGTTGAACAAGTTACTAACTCTGTCACTAGACTTGGTAAAAGGAAAATGAAATGCACTTTGTCTCAGTAGAATACTGAGAACTAATTTAGGATCATCACTGAGTCCTATAAGATTTCATTCTAGACATTATTAGCCTAGCAGTCAAGTAAATGATAAAAGTAGTGGATGAAACAGATTCTAATATCCCACGGGAAATTAATTTAAATAAAGTTTGTAGGCATATTCGTACTCAAATTTCATCCAGGAGCTGCTGATATCAAACTTCAAAAATTTTCATCTAAAATTAATCAGAAGTTTCATAGCTAGCAGTAAATCCTATTCGCTGTACAACTGAAGTCCACTTTATGCTCAGAGTGAAGCCCAAACCATCACAGAATGAATCTGAGAAGTCTGATTTGCGCTTTAAATGGATAATTTGGCCACAGTGAAGAGAAGTAGACTATAAAAACTAAATTCATAATATCAAAAAATGATGCATTATGCACGAAATCTTTGCTCATATTGTTTGAATGGCTGAATACTAAAAATGTACTCCAGGCCAACCACATGGACACTGCTGGTACAAAGCCTGCCATGATCAAATCATTCTTTTCACCTACAATCATAACTCAACATCAAGAGCATCAGATATATTATATTATCATTATTATTATTTGTCCTTTGGATTCCTAGTGGAACATACGGCTTCAGCAGCACGTTACCATTTCACTATCTTTTGCTTTTCACAGCTTCTTGTAGTCGACCGCAATCAGGAAGATGATTGGTGAGAGACGGCAATCTTGTCTTACTCCTGTTCAAACTTCAAAGGCGTCACTGAGCTTCCCATTGTGAATCACTTGGCTTATAGCCTCATCACAGTATTTAGCTGTTGAATGAGGTTGATGAAGAGTTATGACACTAAAACTGTGGTGTTGAAGCAGCTGTCAGCCAAATTACTCCTCGGTCGACGCTGTCAAAGGCCTTTTCAAAATCAATGAAGTTAAGGGACAGGCACAGTTGGCTGCTATTCTATGCTCTGTTCTATGATGATGCGAGGCGTAGCGTTGCAATTTGATCCCTTCATGATTTGTTCTTCCTGAAGCCAGCCTACTCGGGTTGTAATTTTGCATCCAGCACATCCTTTAGTTTCTCCAGGATGGTGCGGCTTAATATGTTTATTGGGGTGGACAGGGAAGAGAGCACGATTCCTCGCCAGTTCTTGCAAAGACTTAAGTCGCCTTTCCTTGAGAGTTATCAGATATATTGCAACCATATAACTTGGTTAGCATACCTTAAACCTTACTCCACTATATTCATTAAAACATAGTTTCGGTTCGATATATCGTCTAAACTGCTGAGAATATAAATGAAGTATGCTTGTTTTCAGCTGCCTGAAAAGGGTAGCTGATTATGTTCCTCCTCATTGACCTTTTCTTCTGATTAACAATATACATATACACTTTTTTATTCAGAAGTTTTTGACATCTATGATATCAATTCATTTCCTACCTTTACAAGCTGCTATTTACAATACTGCAAAATGTGGAGCATAGAGATTTAAAAATCGTCGGGTGAATAGAAGATATAATAGGTCATATTTTTACGTCACATGTTTACAGTTACTAAATTAAGTATGATAATAAAGATGTATTACTTCAAGCGACAAGTGAAGTGTGAATATCAGGAAACTGGGGTTTCATTTAGAAAACGTTTTAGCAAAATTCTTCAGACTTAAATATTTTTCATACCTTATAAATGACCATATCGATTACATAATTGGCTTAATTTCAAGCGTAATGAACTGCAGAATGAAAACACTAGGTATTTGAAAGCTTTTCAGGTGATTCAGATTGAAGTGTTCTCTAAGATAGGATTTCGATTGGCAAAAGCTTCAGTGTCATGCTAGGTAATTATTATCATCAGTGCATCAGGACTTCACAAGACTTCACTCTGATTCTCCACACTCTGACCTGCGAATGCACGCGTCCTTATTTATAGCCTGTCAGATTATTTAGAATTTCCGTAGGCGAAGCTACTTCATGCGTATTTAAAAACTGCAAAATGCTTTCGCTACTGTACGAGAAAATCTGACAGATTACACATGTAACTTTGAAAGCCTTAAGCCTATTTTTAAAGTATTTCGAATTTAAACATCATAGTGAAACGGTACAAACTAGACATGGTTCACCCCTATAAACTCGACTTAATAAGTGCTTCATCAACTCTCATGGAAAGGTATATGATGCGCATAGATTTACAGTGACTTGGTAAATACAATGAATTTATTTTATTACCCAACAGGCGTTAACGTGAAAATTGTCTTTCATCTTCTTCCTCACTAGGCACTGGTTGACCTCAGTTTTCCTGATGAAGTTTAACGTAGTGTCTCGACGTATTTCAATCATAATTTTTCTAATAACCACCCATACTGTACTATCAATTCCAATGGAGGCAAACGAAGTGAATGGAAACCTTTCAATGGATAATTTCACTGTCCGAAACACATCCGATAAAATGCTTCTAGAGATTTACACAACGTGGATTGATTTCGCTAAACATTTTGTTCCAACAGCATTATTTGTCGATCGATACGTTACAATAATTTATTATATATTAGGGTTTCCCGGTAACTTAATTTCACTTATTATTTGGTCGAATAGGCGAATGATTCGAGAAAACTCTGCCGCTGTCTATCTTGCTGCTTTATCGTTGAATGACATTATTGTTTTAATATTTGCACTAAACAGAGATTTGTCACGTGTCTGGCAAATTCATGAGCATTTAACACCTGGATCATGTGAAATTCAGAATATACTATCACCTGCTGTACAGTATGCTTCGCCGTTATTTGTTCTTGCTTTCACTGTGGAGAGATGGCTAGCTATATGTAAGCCATTTGCTATTGATCGAATATGTAGTCCACGCAGAGCAATCTATATCTGTTTCTCAATCATCATCGGGACAATATTAGTATGTTCTGGACATGCATACATATTTGTTACTGAGACAAATACATGTAGTAAACGTCACATAAACCCCCTAATAATAAGTGTATATTTATCATGTTTAGAAGCTGTATTTGCCGGTGTTGTACCTTTACTGGTACTAATTTTCAACTGTTTAGTTATTAAGGAACTGGCAAGAGTTCATCAAGCTAACAAACAACTAGCCCTTATGTCTAATCACTTATCGTCTTCAACATCACCACCATCAACTTCCATGGGCATACAAAAAGAATCACAGAATAAAACAAACACTCAGCGTAGAAGCAAGATGAAATCGTGTTTTAAAAATTTTTTTCAACAAAGAATATATGTAGATGTTCACGTCCACAAACGAACAGAAAACGAACAAATGAGAAATTAATCGTGACAAATTCATCAATTGAAACAAATTTGAATATCCAAAGTTCAGTAGAAATGGCTAAATCATCTGATAGGTCGTTCACTTCCAACAGCACACACAATTCATTCGATAACAACAGTCGAACACCAGTCAACGGAAGACCTGATATTTGTAATCGTGTAGGTGCTGAAATTGTAGGAATAGATTTTAACGAATCTCGTAAAAGCTCACATGGAAAACGAAGTAGCCCAAGTTTCAGGTCTACAACACTTATGCTTTTGACTGTCAGCTTCTATACAATCCTGACGACTTTACTTGGTGGTCTCGTGTATTTAATTCATCAGACTCAAGAGGAACCCAACATGAATGTGACAGAGAGAGAGGTAAGAATTTATGCTTTAATATAACCTTATCTTTATAAATTAATTGAATATAAAACACGGGAACTTCATATTTACCTATATACTCAAAAAATTATCCAAGTAATATTTTCTTGAAATGATTCAACTTAGCGTGGGAGACAACCAATTTGTAAGCTCCTTTATTCCATAGATAATTACAAATCAGTCATTTTCCAGTTCGAAAAGATATCTAAAGAAGCATTTCACGTAATATTAATAATAAACCAGTGAAATTGAACTCAACATCAATAAATCTTTTTCACACATATACTCCTGAGGAATGATGTCGATCAAAACTTCGTTAGTGGCCAATGTTACGTTTTCCAGTCTTGAATCCTGATAAAACATTATTTATTACAAAGCTAGGAGAAATATTATAGCAGTGTATTTCTGTCTGTCCGCATTACCAGGAAGGCTCTGGGTTTAGATATCCTAATTGTTAATACTTCTTAGCATTTAGGACTAGATAATATGGTTCAGTATCCAGTCAGAGTATCTTGTTGATTCTACTAACAAGCCGATCATGGTCGGAATCATCCAGTAGTAACATCTGACATGCCAGTAATTAGCAATTAGGGTTTGAATCACTTAGTAAAAATTAGTTCTTTACGCATGAATACCATCAAACATAAATCCTTGGCTTCCTATCAAATGACAACCGATATCTCACACCAAAAATGGTTTTGGGGATCAATGGCGCATCATCCAAGTGTCAGATGATAGGCCTTTGCACACATCTATTTACATTCAAGTTAGTACTTCAAAATACAATCAGCTTACTTCAGGATAAGTAGAGAAAACTGAAGTGAAGAAAGTGGTTCAAATGAAAAATATCTTGCTGGAAACTGTCTGTTTGTAAGCAAAGCTGAATTGGTGTTATTTCTGCTTTGTAGTTGGTGAATAAAAAACATTTAGGTTACAGTAAACCATAGCAATGGACACTAAATCATAATTTGACTAAACTTTGGCAAAAAACTTGTTTACTCTAGGAATCTGGGGGACAGTACAATGAAGTCGTCGCTTTTATACAAATATGCTAGTCTGTCAACACCGGTGTTTTATCACATTCGTAACATACTCTACAGAATAACATTAGAACAAGACATATTAGCGAACAATATTGTTTTCAATTAGATTCTGTCCAGGCTTTACTCTAATATAAATGGCTTTATATGTATAACGTTAGACCAATCTTGTAGATTTCTCAGTTGATGTGATAAATGATTTAAAGTAACAATGGTGATAATAATAAAGATAATAGAAATAATAAAAGTGATAACATTGAAAGTATATCCAATGGAGATAATAATGATAAGGACAAAGGAAGCTGCATGAGAATGTAGACATTTTGATAATAAAAGTGGGTCGAAAGCATGTGAAAATAAAAGTTACATAATACTGAAAGACGAGGTAAGTGGATAAATAATTTATTATTATTATTATTATTATTATTATTATTATTATTAGTCCCTTGGGTTCCTAATGTAACATAGGGCTTCAATAGCACGTCTCCAGTGAACTCTGTTCTCTGAAATCTTTTAAACCTGGCTCCACAATAGCCCACAAACTCTCATTTCCTCCTCGCACAATCTCCTCCATGTCACCCTCACCTCGAACACCCAACTCGTCTCTTCTTACCTGGCTTTCACTCGAGTGACTGGCCTGACGTGTGATGTCCCCAGTCGGCCTTCTCAGTGCATGCCCAATCCAATCCAATCCATCTCCACTTCCTTCCAGTGCATATTTGTTCAGCGATAGCTTCTTGCTTCGTTGGTTTGTTGCCCGGACAGAGTTTCTTGTTGCTTATTCTTTCTGGCAGTCCATCTGATCTTCAGTATCGAGCCAGCGTAGGCAGTTGTTGATGAATGTCTGCAGTTTGTTGGAAATCCCTTTCGTAACGCACCAAGTCTCTCAACCATCACATAGAAGTACTGACTTGGCGTTGGTGTTGAAAATCTGCATCTTGTTCCACATGCTGAGTGCAGTGCAGAAGATCTTGACACTAGTTTCAGGCTAATCAACGCCTGTCTTGCATTTCCGATTCTGACTTTGACATCCTCGTCTGTCCCGCCACCTGTAGTTGAGACAGTGCTGTCTGGATAGGTGAAGGAGGTTACTTCCTTTAAGTTTCTCCCATTGGCGGTGATTGGAGTTTGTTGTTGTTATTGAAGTTGTTGGTGCGGTGTCTTCATCACCTCTGTCTTCTCTATATTCACCTGAGGTCCCGTCTTCTCTGCCCTGCCTCTTCTACCAACTTGTTAGTTTCCGCCTGTAGATCTTCAAGTTTGTCTGACATCAGGCACAAGTCATCGGCGAAATCCAGATCTTCTAGGTTCTTCTCCGTGGTCCGACCAGCGTATCCCCCTCTTCTCGCTCCCCACTGTTTGCTGCATGATCCAGTCCAGTCGACCACAATCAGGAATGTCATGGGTGATAGTAGACAGCAGCCTTGTTTCACTCCTGTCTCCTCTTCACTTCAAAAGCACCGCTGAACCTCCCATTGTGAATTACTTGGCTGGCATGTAGCGTCTTCATATAGCTGTTAAATGAGGTTGATAAATGTTTGTGGTATTCCGTAGTGTTGAAGCAGTTTCCAAATTACCTCTCAGTCGACGCTGCCAAAGGCCTCCTCAAAGTCGATGAAGTTGAGGTGAGGTAGATAGTTGACTGACATTCTATACTCTGTTCTATCATGATGCCAAATGTAGTGTTGCAATTTGGTCCGCACATGATTTGTACTTCCTGAATCCAGTACATCCTTTAGTCTCTCCAGGATGATACGGCTTAATATTTTGCTTGCATTGAGTGGACACGAGAGTGATTTCGCGCCAGTTCTTGCAAACATTGAGGTCTCCCTTCTTCGGCAGTTTGACAAGGTAACCCTTCTTTTAATTAATGGGCAGGTACCTTCCCTTTTTTCCACAGCTTCTGCAATACTGGTGTGAGCATGTCAGCTATTTTCATGGCGTCTGTTTTTAGTGCCTCTGGCGGGATCCCATCTGGTCCTGCTGATTTCCCGCATTTCAGTAGCTTTATGACGCTCAGGACTTCCATTTTCGTTGGGGGAATTATGTTCACATGTAGTTATGTGTCTGGGCTGCAGATGGTATTTCTGGACGAAGTGCAGGTGGTGGTGGTCGATTCAAGAGCTTCTTGAAGTGGTCAACCCATTGTTTCCTCTGTTTCTCTTCTTTCGTAATTAAATTTCCGTCATCATACTTCATTGGTTTCATTTGTGTTGATCTCTTCCCAGATACACAGTAACCTAGGTATTTGATACAATGTTGTCAGGTCCCTGTCTCTCCTACATGAAGCCTGTTCTGCTTCACTTGCCAGTGTTTCACAGAAGTGTCTTTTGTCTTTGCGTGCACTCTTCTTCACTTCTTTGTCCAGTGTTCCATACATTGTACTCAGTTCCACTTCTCGTTCAGCATCCTTGCACTGGTTTATCTTCTATTTCACTATCCTCCTCTCCTCTATCAGCTGCCATGTATCCATCGAGATCCACTCCATCCCTTATCTTCTTTCTTCCTCCTTCCTAATACGGCTGTGCAGGTTGCTTTCCTTATAGCCTTCAAAGACTTCCAGTGTTCTTCCACACAGGTTTCTTCAGAGATGTTCCTCGATATCTCCCATTTTGTCTTGATGTCTGCTCTGAAGATTTCCTTCGTAGTTTCGTCCTCCAGTTTCCGAGTGTTCTACGTGAACTGTGGTCTATCACCAACTTCCTTGAAGGCTTTCAACTTGATTTAGAAGGTGGGTTTCTTGCACTAGATGGTGGTCTGAACCTACATCTGTTCCCTTTCTTGACCTTGTGTCAAGTAGACTGCGTATCCATTTTCTTGAGATTGAGATGAAGTCGATTTGATTTTAAGTGTGTCCATCTGGTGAAATCCATGTCGCTCGCTTTGTTGATATCCTTGAGCTCGAACACACTGCATCGCCTCCAATCACCAAATCGTTGAATGCACAGAATTCTGCAAACAATTCTCCATTCTCGTTCATCATCTCACCGAGCGCTTCTCCCCCAATGGTTACTTCTCTTCCTGTGTTATCCACTCCCAGTTTGGCATTCATGTTATCCCACCCATTAGAATTTTGATGTCGCCAACTGGAGTGTTGTCTTGTCCAGTGTTGATTGCAGTTGTCTGTAGAATTCCTCCCTTTTCTCTTGTTCTACATTATTTGTAGGTGCGTGGTGTAGCATTGTATGATTGTGACCTTCCTTCCCTCCTTTTGAGTTGAATCCATCTTGCTGTCATGATCCTGATGCTGGAGGAGATTGGCTCCCACTGCATGAGGGCACTCGATACTCTTGGGAACATCTTGATAGCCACTCCAATACTCAGTGTGCTCGTAGTTGTCGTCTGGGTGACAATGTCGGAGTAGATTATTGATTCTGCAGTTGACAGTTTGGAGAGTCCACTCCCATTCAATGTACTTCCGCAGATTCCAAGCACTTCAATGTGATACCTCTTCATCTCGTTTGCAATCTGGGCTGCCTTGTTGGGTTCAAACATGGTGCGGACATCCCATGTCCCCACGTTAACTTTAGCCTTCATCGAGAGCGGATACATTGGCCGATTGGCTTCTCGAGGGCTCTCACCAATCGGCGTCATTTTGCCTCTCTGACTCGAGCAAGGAATAATTTTGTTATTATTTTTTATATTTTGTTTGTGCTTTGAAGTTTCTTTAGCGGTTAGATTTGTGTTGCGGGGTAGGGTTGCTAGGTGTATGCCCAAGCTTCCCTGTTTACCCGGGCTTAGGACGGGCTAGTAACTAGTGAACCAGTTAACGAGGGGAGGTTACTGGATAAATAAATTCTAGACAAATACTGTAACCATATGAAAGGGTTGGGGAATAAGAAGGGGATAGGAAAAACTGAACGATAATGTTATTAACCCTTATTCCTTGTCCACGGGAGAGATAACTGATGTACAAATTTCTTCTGGATACAAAGACTAAGATCATCAGCTCGAAATCTGCTATGTATAAAATACGAGTCTGGTTACGTTTCGAAAGTTGAGATGGTTTGCGGTGGATAATCGTGAAAGCATTGTTTTTATCTACCAAGTGACCGTTATCAATGATACAAGAATAGCTTTATACATCAAATCATCTTGTATGCAGCTCAGAAAACGTGAAATCTGTCAACTAGAGAATAAATATTTTTGCATGTTACGAAAATTCGGATTGTTTAACAAAACTCCACCTCTTAGTGTTTAAAGATGCCTTCAAAAAGCTTTAATCATGGTTTTAAAATACTTGTGAAGACTTCTAATACCTTTTGATTGCCTAATCAATACTGAAACAAGTAGTATAGCTTGCAAAGCGTTGGGATGTAGGACATTTAACATCTCTCGGGAAAAGTAATAAGGACTGCATTATAAAAACAGCGAGAAAACTACCGATACGAGCTGTAATTTCGATGAGATTTTCTTGTATTCCCTTGTTTCTTAGGCTGATTTAAAGCAGAAATTTACAGGTTTATCTTTTGAATCTCACAAAAGATTCAAATACACAATGTAACGATATCAGTTGACCAATTTAACTGACTATCCAAGAATTCACCAAAAGTTTGAAGGCAAAATATTAGTTATAACTAATAGTATTGATAATTCTGAAAAGCTTATGGTTAGCTTCTTTATCGAAAGTATTATCTTGGTCTTCAGTTTAGTAATGCAAGAACAGCCAGCGAGCGGAAAAGAAAAAGAGATAACAACTCTACTCTATGTCTTCTATGAATTACACCTTAATTAACACGATTTAAATGCCACAAAAATGCATGTACACTTCGTGTTACTCATGAAGTAAAAAGTGATGAATGTGGCCAAGGTTCATTGAACTGCAGATTAAAAAGGAAACAGGATGAAGGTGTAACTACTAGTGTCTATAGGAAACTGTCAGACTGGAACTGATAATCCAACTATATATCATCTCAGTGCCATTGACAGTCACCCTAATAAACCTGCTAGCTAGAAAGAGAATGGACATTTAGTCGCTCAGTTATCATCTGCCTAAATCCATTAAAATAAGAGAGTGAAAGCAATCGTATTTATTCACAAGAAACGCAGTTATGTCCCACCTCTTTCCTATTGTATCGCCCTTAAATATTCCGGCAATCTAACCGTATTTCGTTGCCACATGTAAAATGATGCTTTCTTTCAATAAAAATGCGGTTTTTAAAAATGTTATCTATCTAAAATGCCTAAAAAAGTAAAATCTGCAACAATATGTCATTAAGGTTACAGATAATATTTTGATTTCTAAATACGATGACGAATATCCACTCTAGATGAAAACAGTTGTTGTCATAATGTAATAACTTTAAAATATAACAAAAAAAATAATAATAAATGGTTAAAATTATCTCTGAATTTTCTTTTTCATCAAACAAATCAAGCGGTATATGATCAAAAGTATTCAAAAACTTCTTATCATTTCTATCCTATTACTTTCATAAAAAAGTATATTCACGTCACTAAATAAATTGAATGAATCATTTTGTGCGACCATAAAATATTTCCAAATACTGGTTTACAAACCAAGTACGTAGTCATCTCTAACGTATGTAATCCCAGCCCACTCGAAATTTAAGTAAAATATAGAAGAAAGATATCATCTTTTGGAATACATTTGGTTTTCGCTGAAATCCTATACAATGATTTATGAGCACAGTTTAGAGAATGTTCAAATTTATTTATCATGATGAATAAAGGAATTCATTGGTTGACTTGATATTAATGAGAAGTTTTTATAGCCTGAAGAGGAATATGATTGTTGGATTAGGCAAACGTTTAATAGCGAATGGATTGGGAGTGTGGAATTAAGTGAAACCAGATTAAAACACGAAAATAGAAGTTATGTTCAGTATATGTACTTCGTATTAATTGATTATCTTGTAATAATTAAGGCTTCTGCAACTTCACATGACCTGTATACATAGAATTGGCCATGATCAAAATCTAACAGTAATGTCCTGATTTATTTACCTGAATAAATCATAGGTTAATGCTCACGAAAGGTAACATATTTCTGGCAGTTATTCACTGTAATTTTGTGCATTTAACATATATCTCTTGTTCTGTACTGCTAACTGATGGTGTCTGATACTTTGTAACTTCCCATTTTATGTGACATTACATCAGGTGAATTTCCAAAACGAAAAAATCAATCCAAACTCCAAGAAGGGTTTCTACTAGCTTATTCACAAGGAAAAATCTGAAAATGGTTTAAATTGTAAAACAGAAAACGCAACTAAACTTACCTCCTGTTAGTCACATATCTTTCTTAATGAATACATTTAAACCACATATTGCAGCATAAACCTGTCAGTCCTCTGTAAATGGTATCAGAAGCCCAACAGTTTATAGACTGCCTTAGGGAAGCGCGAGACTATGGCCGCAGTTTTACACAACATCTTAAGGGACGAAGCAAGTGACTGAAACTTGTCACTGGTTTTGAGGGGCAACTAAAAGGAGTGAGGAAATTCTGATTCCAAATTAGGGTGCATTTAGATTATATCATTCAGCAGAAATAAATGATTCATGGACTCATTTTATTTCCTGGTAAAAAAAGGAATTCACCTTCTGATGTCGATATCATGTTCTCTTGATCAAGTCAAAGGTTCAATGAGCGACTTCCTAGGACAAGTGATTGCTCCGATCTCAGTGTATGGCCCACAAGCTTAGCTTTCACACATTTCATGAAGAAATAAAACATTACAGTCCTTCTTGTTCCACATGTTGCATTAACTTTACTTTTAAGAAAAAGTACCTCCATATGCATCCCTTGTTTTGCTCAAATCAATTCATGACTAGAAATATGTTCACTTTATGAAATATCTAGCAGACAAATTACTCGAATTTGTGCCCTACACTGATTGCTAACATTGAGGCTTACATATTAAATATGTGCACATTGTTCATTATCAACGTGATGTTAACGAGTCATCAATAATAGTTTGATGTATAAAAAGTAATCTAGAAGCATCAAGTATATGGCTGGAAATATATCAGCTTCTGAAATCAAACACAAGTTCTAACACAAATAAAACCCTACTAGAAAGCGTAAGCTTTGAAAGTCAAGTAAAAATTAGCGCACCTTAGCTTCCAGTGCATGTTAAATCCTTATGCGTACAAAGTACATCTACGGTGAAAGAGAAGAAAACTATAAAAAGTGAAAAGTAGGTTTGTATTCAGGAGCTGACAGTTAAAGAAGCAGTGCTAAGGCTATAGAACCATGAAGCTAACCTGATTCTAAAATTATCCCTTAACAAGTAGTAATTAAGGATCCTCATTCTCATTATAGGCTGACAAAAATATTGACTGAAATTTCATCATAAAGTGTGGACTGCTTGATGACTAGTTTCATAAAAACAACGAAAACAACTTTCTTTAAAAATGTTAGAATCAGATGGGAATTGTCAGACAAACAATTTTTGCCTAAGTAAACTTAAAATATGCTTTCAAAAAATATTATATCAGTAGGGTTAGAAGGGTAAGCGTTCATACTTATTCTTTGGAAATCTGTACACATTTGACTGTGGAGTGTCACAATGCATTAAAAAAAACAAACGAATTAATGAAATAGAATCACCCCTCATATTCTACAAAAGCTACAGTATTATTTCATTTTTGTGATGCTTTTTTAAGCTGATGCCATTTTGGGTTAGAAAATTTAAGTGACAGGGAAGAATCTAGTCATTAAGTTTGTCACTATGAATTCTTTATGGTATATATCACTTAAATTTGTGGATGAAATAGGAAAGTTTTTTATCCTGCCTTGTTCTTATTTAATACTACTTTCAAGGCACTAGAAGATCCGGTTTGGAATCAATATTTCAAAATGATCACCATCAAAGCGTTCGGTGATGAAATTGCCCTGTCACATTACGCATTTAGTTTCATAATCTACTACGCAACTGGGTGCAACTTTCGTCTACGTGTTCATCAGTTATTCAGAGGCCTATTCTATCGATTGGGTTGCCGATGTAGCACTTTGATGAAACTTGGTCAATTTGAAGATAGTGAAAATATACCGTCAGTAGCTCGTCGATCACATAATCGTCTGCTGACGAATGGTGACCGAACGAATAATGTGGATCATGCTTCTTATTCACATAATCAACGAAAATTACAAACCCCTAAAAGACTAACTGTTTCTGAACAATCACCTTTGTCAAATAAACAAACTTAACTGAGAGCACAGGATGAACGACCTAAGAGATCTCCAAGATCAAGCCTACTCAACAGACAACCATCTTTTATGAATGAAAATGAAACACTTAACTCTATGGATCCTTTTAATCGAACCACTAGTTAACATGCCCAAACACGCATTCATTTTCTACCTTGGATGTGAAATAATTAAGGAAATGTTGCTAAAATAGCTCCACTAGAAGGCTCAAGAGAATTGTATTCATCTTTCAAAGTAAAAGAGAATGATCAGGACAGTTGACTTGCCTGTTCGCTTACATTCGCACCTTTTCTTATTACTTTTAAAATCAAACTATCTTATTTGAAGTAAATTCTATTTTTTGCATTTTGTCTCTATGTTTAAAGTGAAGTCAAGAATGGTGTTAAGCAGCAAAAAAGGAGCAACAAATCAATTAACATTACGGTTTATTTTTCCTTTTGTCGCATTTATTGTTTGACTTGTTTCGATGGTTATTTGTTCACACTCTGTAGATGCTTGGGTTTTGTGTGTGTGTAAATATATGTGTGATTGGTGATATCTAGCCGTTTGTATCTGCAAATTTTTATATATTCAACAAAGTCATCTAATAATGAGTATCACACTCTTTTCGCCTCATGCTGCAGTACAGCGCTCGGCATTATTCAAACTTGTTTAAAAATGTAGAGTTGGCTTACCTAACATCCAATAAACGCACTTCAGTTTTATAACTTTCGTCTTTGTAATCACTCGTCAGTCAAAAGAACACTCAAGTTTTAGGTAGTTACGCGCGACTACCAGTCTAAAAGCTTGAAAACTATGGTGTCTCAATTTTAAATATGCATCTTAAAAGAGATTCACTGAAAGCCCATAACCTTTAACTAACTAGGGTTTTGTTATTCGTCTCTTTTCACATCTCCTAAATCTTCTGCGTTCCTTTCCGGACAGTTCCCAATACTTACTATATTCGTTAGGGTTACAGTACAACAGATGCTACAAAACCTACTAAACGTTTAAAAAAACTCTCATCACATAATCATATTTACCATTACTATTATTATTTTTCCCTCGAATTCCTCGTGGAACATAGGCCTTCAGTAGCACGTTTCCACTGCACTCTTTTCACTGAAATCTTTTGAACCTGGCACCACGACTGCCCAGAAGCTTTCATTTCTTCCACACACCATCTTCTGCATGTCAACCCCGGACGGCCAACTAGTCGTTTCCCATCTTGGTTCCGCTCGGGGGCCTGGCCTAGTGCGTGATGACCTCGAATGGTCTTCTCAGTGCATGCCAAATGCAATCAGTCTCCACTTCCTCCTGTATATTTGATGAGCCATAGGTTCTTCGTTGGTTAATTGTCACAGTTCCTTGTTACTTATTTTTTCTGGCCATCTGATCTTCAGTAACGAACGTAGGCAGTTGTTGATGACTGTCTGTAGTTTGTTGGAAATCCCTTTCCTTGACGCACCAAGTGTCTGAATCATCATATAGAAACACTGACTTGACTGACATTGGTGTTGAGAATCCGGATCTTGTTCACGCTTTATGCTGAGTGCGAAAGATCTCCACACTGGTTTCAGGTTAATGAACGCCTGTCTTGCTTTTCCGATCCTGGCTTTGACGTCTTCGTATGTGCCTGTGCCGCCTGTGGTTGAAACAGTGTTGCCTACATAAATGAAAGAGGCTATTTCCTTTAAGCTTCTCCCGTTGATGGTGTCTGGAGCTTGTTTTTGTTGGTGGTGGCGTTGGATAGGTATCTTCACAACCCCTGTCTTCTCTACGTTCACCTGAAGTCCCTTATTCGCTGCCCTGCCTCTTCTGTCAACTTGTTAGTTTTCGTCTGTAGATCTTCAAGTTTGTGTGACACTAGACATAAGTCATCAGCAAAATCCAATCTAGGTTTTTTCCGCTGTCTAGCATATCCACCTCTTCTCGCTCCTCTCTGTTTATTGCATGATATAGTTCACTACAACCATGAATATCATGGGTGACAGTTCGCAGCCTTGTTTTACTCCTATCTTCAATTCAAAAGCATCACTGAGCTTCCAATTGTGAATTCAAGAGTATTTTGAAGTGGTCAACCCATCGTTTCCTTTTTTTCTATTCTTTCGTAATTAAATTTCCTTCTTCATCTTTTATTGGTTTCATCTGTGTTGATCTCTTCCCAGATACACAGTAACCTAGGTATTTCATACAATGTCGTCAGGTCCCTGTCTCTCCTACCTGAAGCCTGTTCTGCTTCACTTGCCAGTGTTTCACAGAAGTGTTTTTTGTCTTTCCATGCACTCTTCTTCACTTCTTTGTCCAGTGTTCCATACATTGTACTCAGGTCCACTTCTCGTTCAGCATCCTTGCACTGGTTTATCTTATATTTCACTATCCTCCTCTCCTCTATCAGCTGCCATGTATCCATCGAGATCCATTCCTTGACTTGTACTACTACTTCTTCCTTCCTAATACGGCTGTGCAGGTTGCTTTCCTTATAGCCCTCAAAGACTTCCAGTGTTCTTCTACACAGGTTTCTTCAAGAATGTTCCTCGATATCTCCCATTTTGTCTTGATGGCTGCTCTGAAGATTTCCTTCGTAGCTTCATCCTCCAGTTTCCGAGTGTTGTACTTGAACTGCGGTCTATCACCAACTTCCTTGAAGGCTTTTAACTTGATTTGGAAGGTGGATTTCTTGCACTGGATGGTGGTCTGAACCTACATCTGCTCCTCTTCTTGACCTTGTGTTAAGTAGACTGCGTCTCCATTTTCTTGAGATTGAGATGAAGTCGATCTGATTTTAAGTGTGTCCATCTGGTGAAATCCATGTCGCTGACTTGTTGATATCCTTGAGCTTGAACACACTGCATCGCCTCCAACCACCAAATCGTTGAATGCACAGAATTCTGCAAACAATTCTCCATTCACATTCATCATCTCACCGAATGCTTCTCCACCCATGGTTACTTCTCTTCCCGTGTTGTCCACTCCCAGTTTGGCATTCATGTCATCCCACCCATTCGAATTTTGATGTCGCCAACTGGAGTGTTGTCTTGTCCAGTGTTGATTGCAGTTGTCTGTAGAATTCCTCCCTTTTCTCTTGTTCTACATTATTTGTAGGTGCGTGGTGTAGCATTGTATGATTGTGACCTTCCTTCCCTCCTTTTGAGTTGAATCCATCTTGCTGTCATGATCCTGATGCTGGAGGAGATTGGCTCCCACTGCATGAGGGCATTCGATACTCTTGGGAACATCTTGATAGCCACTCCAATACTCAGTGTGTTCGTGGTTGTCTTCTGAGTGACAACATCGCAATAGATTATTAATTCTCCAGTTGACAGTTTGGACAGTCCACTCCCATTCCATCTGCTTTCGCAGATTCCAAGCACTTCGATGTGATACCTCTTCATCTCGTTTGCAATTTGGGCTGCCTTGCTGGGTTCAAACATGGTGCGGACATCCCATGTCCCCACGTTAACTTTAGCCTTCATCGAGAGTGGACACATCGGTCAATTGGCTTCTCGAGGGCTTTCACCAATCGGCGTCATTTTGCCTCTCTGACTCGAGCAAGGAATAATTTTGTTATTATTTTTTATATTTTGTTTGTGAAGTTTCTTTAGTGGTTAGATTTGTTTTACGGTGTAAATTTGCTAGGTGTATTCCCAACCTTCCCTCTTTACCTGGGGTTAGGACGGGCTAGTAACTAGTGAACTAATTAACCAGGCGATGTTCTTCTCACATTAGTGTTTATTATCTATAAGACTCGCAGTTTAACAAAAAGTATTTTCAAACTTTGAAGGGAAACGTTTTGACTGGACGTAGATTGCTAACAACGCCTCCATTGTTTGGCCAAATCTTGCTGCGAAAATTAAGAAATGTTCACTTGGTTATTGGTATGCTTGCTAGTGGATACTTCAAAATACCGAGAAATATAACTTGCAAAAGGTCTTAGTAGATACAGTTTTAACAAAAACTGATTATGATCATTCACCTCGAATCAGTACAAATGCAATTCATAAAAAGCTGAACTTAAGGGATAATTCAAAATAAACAGTAGTGATCTGTGTTAACGCTTACTCTTTTGAACATATATTCTCGGTTGCAAAATCTTCAGCTGTTATAATTATATTGATGAAACATAAACAAAACTGATCATATCTTCAAAAATTACAGTCAGAGGGATATGATTTTGTTTAACAACTAAAATACGTTTTTCCTCTCAGGCTTTGATTTGAGAAACATTATCTTCACTTTAATTTAGCCCTCGAATAAATGCAAACCGGACCGCTGCACAATACAGTGAGTCGATTATATTAGGTAAGACGAACCATTAAATTTCAACCTAATAGTTGAATAGTAAATTACCTCTTAATCACATATGTTTATATTTTATCCAACACAGTAAGAGGATAATGACGAACACTGCTGTAGAGCATTAGGACGTAGCAAAAATGTTGTTCAATTTCCTTTAATTTATATGTTTTCTGAACTTCATGGCCCCCTGTGGTGAAAACTACTTTGAAAATAAATTAACTTTGAGCGTGAAATCGCAACCCAACAACGCAAAATTATTCATGAAATTACTTTGGATGTGATCAATAAAGAACAGAGAGAATTCTTAAAGAAATTGGTATTGCTAATTAATTGCTAGGAAAGTAGAATCTCTTCCATTAGATATTCAATAGTTTAAAAAATTATATTTTTTTTTACAAAGACAAACTTTCTTTTTGAGGGTAAACGATACATTTTCTGAGAAAAACGTTGAAACATTGAAAACTGCACAACTAGAGTCAATACTCACACTGATTATCAGTATAACTAGTCTAATATAAGTTTATCTGGATAACATCTATTAATTTGTACAGCATATGTAAGCAAGTTTTACTTCAAAAATATTTGTCAAATGAAGCCACAGACATTTGGTACTACATGTTGCAAGTCAAGCAACAGCAAATTCCATTCGAACAGAAGTTCTTGTGTCGTGGCATTCATCAGCAATGGTGGACTTGTGACCGTGTTGAAACAGGTGTTTCCCC